TCTTCTTCTTCTTCTTCTTCTTCTTCTTCTTCTTCTTCTTCTTCTTCACAGGTCTGGGCAGTCTAGCAAAGGAACTTGGGATCCCGAGTTCAGTGCTAGGAAGGACATTGACCTCTTGAACCCTACAGCTAATCTCTGCTCACCAGTCCCCATGGGTCACTTCCATCTGTAGGCAGTCATGGTTCCTCTGTCCACTATCCAAGACCCTCCCGGGTACCAGGAAAACCTGAGGGACAATACCAGGAAGCCAGGCCCCCACCAAGCCAGGCTTGAGTCAGTGCCCAGCCCCGGCCTGGCTGGGGACCTCCTTTCCATTAGAACTCTCTAGTTCATGCTCAGTCTGTCCCGCCACTTCAGGGAAACTGAGGCCCAGAGAAAGGAGAGTGTTAGTTGGTCAAGCCACTCAGTGAAGGGATTTGTGGCCCCGCCCCCGCTGTTTATTTTTCCCTAGGCAGACTGGGGTCCGGTGGGCTCTGCAGCAGGCTTTGGCCACAGTGGACAAACAGCCCTTGTTAAAGGAGGAAGCTCTCTTCCCTTTTGGAGGGTGGAGAGGCATGACATGAGGCCAGCCTGAGGGGGTGAAGGGAGTCGTTGTGAAGCTAATTGAGGGTGTTGCCCTGAAAGTCTCACTAACCCCAGCCCAGCCTGTCACCAAGGTCTGGGCAATGCCAAGACCCCTTGGGCCTCTAGAGTTACCTGGGTCTAAAGTGGGCATCGTGGAACCCTCGGCTTCACCAAGACGGCATTGTAGAATCACAGCCGGAAAGTTTGTAAAGCCAGCTCTGTAAGCAGTGGGAGGACCAGGGGACAGTGTGTCCTTGCCTGTCTGTCACCCAGCAAGCCCTCTCAGAAGAAAGGTGTGTGTGTACATAAGTACATGCGTGACTGTTCCCAGATAGAGAGCTAGGATATGTGTTTCCTGACCTGCCCTAGGCATGCTATGTCAACAGAGTGGCAACGGGACCTGGCCCAAGCAGGTTACCATGATGACCAGATGATTGATCATCCAAACTTCTGAGAAGGGAAAGGCAATGGTCAGGATTGTGCCGGGGCTGCAGGCACAATTATCATTGATGCGCCCCACCCACCCCTAGCCAGCCTTACTTCCTTTGCCTCAGTTTCCACAGCTGTGAAGTTGTTTTATTGCGCTAAAAGTGTCTGTCTTGTGTCGCAGCCCTCAAAGCCTGCTGTCTGGCCTGGGAACTCAACTCAGACGTCATTTGTCTCTTGGGAGGGGCTGCATCTGAGGACAGTCCCCGAAGCCATGCTTTCCACAGGCCCTCACTGAAGCTCCCGGCTGTGCCAGGAGGCAGCAGTGAGAACAATAGGCCATCGTGACTATTTATTGAGCACTTACTGTGTGCCAGGCTTGCCTTCTTAGAGCTTCTTGGCAGCCTTAGAAGGAATGACTTCATTCCACAGATAGAGAGGGGCCGAATTTCACAGATAGTAGAACTCCAGCTTAGAGAAGCAAAGTTCCTTTTTACAAAGTTACAAGCCAGTTTGCAAATTTGGGACTGGGCCTTCTGGGGCGTGTGGCCCAAGCCTGTTTCTTTGCTAAAGATAACAGAGATGCCTGGGGTCTTGGCTTGGATGGGTGGCTCTCTTGAGTTCCAGAGCTGGCTGGCTCCCTTCCAAATGGCAGCTCTGGAAGTCAGGGAGGGTTTGAATGCCTCCAACCCATCCCCTGGCACCCAGACAGGCTCTTGAGGCCAGTGCCATGCCTATTAGCTCACGGTTATATTTGGGCTTGGGTGCAGTGGTGCTGGCAGACAGGAAGGAGGGGTGGAGGCTGGGAGGGAGCCCCTTAGTGAGCAGGCTCAACATTGTCAGCAGCGGATGGCAGAGCCACGGGGAGAAGATGAGGAAATAAAAACGAACTGCCAGGCCGCCTCCCAGCTAGCCAGAATGCCCCTCTGTTTCTTCATTCTCTGCCCAAGTGGCCAGCCCTGCCCGCCTGTGAGTCAGGCCTGCCTGCGTGGGCCAGGCCACCCCTTACCTGAAAGAAGTCTGTGCAGACCATGACACAGGACCTTTGTCACCCACCAGGAAGCAGCGTCTTTCAAAATGGAACGGTGTGGAGGCACTGGGGCCTCAAGATCCCAGAAACCCAGGCTCCTCTAAGAGCCTTCCTCTCCAGGCCTCATCCCTCTACTCTCTGGAAGCTGGAGGGAAGCCCAAAGAGTCATAGGCCTGTGTAAGGTGTACAAGGCTTTAGGCTAATGATGGCCTTGATGTACTGCCCATGGGATTAGAACCCATAGCCAGGAAGGTCCCCAGCAGGCCAATCCCCTGCCCCCTCCCCAGCCTATAACCAGGATCTCAGATGCCCAGGTCCCTCCTAGAGTGTGCAGCTGTCCAGGGAGCAGTGATATGCAGGAGAGGGATTCAGACAGAACTGAGGGTCCATGGCAGTGTCTGCCTTCATTCCTGCTGGTGTTGTGGACAAGCAAGCCGAGCCTGTCCAAAGTGACATCACCTCAGATCTGAGGCGGACAACTGAGACTCTCCCAGGGGACTCTCTCTGATTATAGGCTTATCATGGCTTTTCAGGTGGGCTTGCAAGGCCTACTTCACCAATGAGGAAGCAGACTTAAGGAGACGGAGCCTCGTGGCAGAGCTGCTCCAGTGGCCGGAGGTGGAAGGAGGCCTTGACTGGAGCCTTGGGAGGCTGGACAGTGCCCTGCCTGTCCTTCACTCACAGCTGTGCTGTCTCTTCTCCGCAGGCCCAGCTCCCAGTGAGGAGGCAGGGACCAAGGCCCGCTTCCAACTGTCTGATGACGTGGAGGAGGGATCCTGGGCAGCCTCAGTGCTGGACCAACAGGACAACGTCCTCTCGCTGCAGTTCTGCACCCCTGCCAATGCTCCTGTTGGCCAGTACCGCCTCAGCCTGGAGGCGTCTACCGGCTACCAAGGCTCCAGCTTCGTGCTGGGTCACTTCATCCTGCTCTTCAATGCCTGGTGCCCAGGTCAGCTATTTTCTATCTGTGGTGCTGGGGAGAGGCAGGAACCAGTGGATGAGGTGTCAAAGAGGACTCGGTGGGGCTCCTGCTCCAGCCTCATAATCAGGATTCTTTTGTCATCCCTGTTTATAGACAAGGAAGCCAAGTAGCTCATCTGACACCAAAGGCTGTATTCCAGGTCTGGGGCCCGTGAGTTCCTGCGGCACTAGGAACCAGGTGTCTAAATCCATTCGGCTGCTGTCACAGACTCCCATGGATGGTTTATAAACATGGCTGACAGTGCTGGGGATTGGGAGATACAGTATCAAAACAGGGGTCACCTCCAGTGAGGGCCTTCTTTCTATGACCCAACACGGCCCAAAGCGACATGTGGTAAGAGAGGCCCAAACCCTTCTACAGTCACCGAAACCTCCCCAACTCACACCATTATCTTGGGGATTAAGTTACAAGGCAGAAGACTGTATTGTGGCTCAAGAGTCCGCATTAGGGGAGAGATACCCAGTTTATGGCCAGGGCCAGACACTGTGCCCACTCTGTTCAGGAGGCCCTGCTTTGTACTCATCCAGGTTGGCTGGAGGATGGGAAAGTGAGCGAGGCACAGCAGAGGCCCAGGGTCTGACTCATAGCTACCTCCTTCCACAGCTGCTCAGGGGTTGGAGATTTCAGTATCCTTGTTGCTGAGACAGGAAATTGAGACTCAGAGAAGTTAAGAGGCTTTTAGAAGCCCCTTCAGTCAGCTAAGGGACAGTGGCAAAGGAAGAAAGAGAGGTGAGCTGGGAAAAGCTGGGTACTTCCCAGGCTGGGAAGTACCTCCCAGACTCAGTTTCCCCATCTCATCAGCAAGCATGCAGCCTGTCTTGTTTCCTTTTTGCTCTGACACAGTGAGGCAAGAGGGGACTCTCAGGCCACCCAGCCTGGGAATTTAGCAGCCTTCCAGGCTAGCCCAGAGTCTGGCTTTTGCTGGTTAGGCAACCCTTTCTCTGTATCATTGCTTGTTTCCTTTTCTTCTCTATTTTGGGACATTTTATGACATACTTACAGAAAGGCTTTAAAAATTCTTCTGGTATGCCTACTTTGGCTTTTATTTCTAATTCTAATGGATGCCAGAACACCCTTTTATTTTTTGTTTTTATTTAATTAATTAATCTTATTTTGAGGCACGGTCTCATGTAATTCAGGTTGGCCTCCACCTCACTGTGTAGCTGAGGGTGACCTTGACCTTTTGCTTCCACACCCAGTTAAAAATACCCTCTTTCCCATTTTGTGGGGCCGAAAAGATGGCTCAGTGGTTAAAAGCTCTGGCTGCTCATCCAAAGGATCAGGGTTTGATTCCCTGAACAAACACAGCAGATAACAGCCATCTGTAACTTCATTTCAAGGAGATCTGGTGCCCTCTTCTGACTTCCTTGGTGGTGCACATACATACATGCGAGCAACACACACACACACAAACACACACACACACACCTTTTTATCAGAACATGGACATTACCCCGGGAACTCAGTTGTCTGCTTTCATGGGTTAATTTCCACTCTGTCCATGTGCACCTGGAGAAATTGCCCATTCATTGCACTTAGAAATTGCTATTTCCAAAATTGTCTCTACCAAACATGAAAGGCCAGGCCTGCTATCAGGCCTATAATCCTAATACTTGAAAGCAGAGCAGAAAGATTGTGAGCTCAAGGCTAGACTGGGCAACTGGGTGACCCTGTCCCAAAATAAAAAGCAAAGAGCAGGCGGGGATGGAGCTCAGTTGAGCACTTGATGAGCATGCTTGAAGTCTGGGTTCCATATCCAGCACCCAAACCAAACAAAGCCTCAGTTGGATCATAGTGTAATCGGTTAAAATCTGCTTTCTCTGGAAGTTGTCTCCAGATCTGTGCACAGCGCTCTGAACACAGCTGCCCAGTCTTTCCAACACTCCCAATGCCTTGTGCTTTGCCCAGATGGACTGCAATTGTCTGGTGCCCTGTTTACAGCCCAGATGTCACCCCCAGTGGCCTGTGGGGTGTCTCCAAGAGGACATGATGCAGGAATTGTTTAGAACAGAGGTGGCTTTGCTGAGACAAACTATGGTTTGTTTGGGTGAAGCAAGAACCCTTGCCAACCCGCAGGGTTTTAGAACTCAGGACAGAGGAAGGGAAGCTCCCGGGGATGTCCCCTTCTGCCTCAGCCTTACCCTGCCCTGAACGTTGGAGCAGGTCCCAGCCAAGCAGAACAACAAGTGAGTAAGGTGACCCACACGGCAGGGCCTGGGAGAGGCAGGAAGTTGGGCTTTGGAGGGGGCAGCTGTAGGGGAGGAAATTTTCAGGATGGATGGGAAAGGCTGGTTCTGCCTGGAAATGGGAGCCCCTGCCCTGGATCCAAGGCCATAGGATAGGAGCAGCAGGATTCTGGCTTCTTGTCCTCAGGGCTCTCAACTTTCCCAGAAGTCAGAGCCATAGTCCTGATACCACACGTGCTAACCACATTCCATGTGGTAGCCTGGAATAACGCTTTCTCTTTCCCTCTCCCTCCTCAGTGTTTACAGAGCTCAGAACTGGAACGCAGAGATGCCGGGCACTGCACAGGTCTCTCTCTGGAGGTCTAACCTTGCCTCGTAGCAGCCCTAGGACTCTTTCTCCAGCGGGGACTAGAGTCTGCCATTCTTTTAGGCACCGTGACTATTTTTATTTCTTTTAAAGAAAAAGAAAGGGCTGGGATGTGCCTAGGTTTTTAGGGTACTAACCTAGCATATGTGAAGCCCCGGGTTTGATCCCTAGCACCACGAAAACTAGGCAGGGTAGCAGACACTTGTAATCCCAGCACTCAAGAGGTAGAGGCAGGAGGATCAGAAATACAAGGTCACCTTTAACTACATAAGGGATTTGAAGTCAGCCTGGGATCCTAGAGACCCTGCCTTTAAAAGTATTTTTTTTTAAGTGAACATTTCATTGTGTGATATTAAGACATCAACCATAGTTGAATTTTCTCTGTGATGGTGGGAGAAATTCGTAGATACTAGATACCCAAGCCAGGCCAAGGGCTCACCTGAGTCATCACGAGGCACTGGGTTTCCCTTCCCAGCCTCAGTTTCCCCTCCTTTGAGGCAGACATTGTAAAGCCAGTTTGACCACCAAGCCTCAGCCTCCTTGGCTCTCTGTCCTCCCCACTTGTCACAGGGAATCCTGTGACCCACATCTTGTCTGGGACAAAGCTTCAGCACCCGTGTCCTCACTTATGTTACCATCCCCCAGCCTCCTCAGCCATGTCTCAGGGAGCCACCCTGATCCCAAAGCTGCCAGGCTCCACTCCCTGGGACTGTAGTCACCCTTCCTTCATGTCTTTCTGACTCTGGTGCCTTCTCCCCAGGGAGTCCGGGACGTTCCCAGGATGGCTTCAGGTTCTGTTCCCAGCACCTCACATCTGCCACACCTTTCAGTTTTAGGCAGTTCCAAGAGGTGCTGAGGTAGGCTCAAAGGTCCAGGTCACATCGAAAATGAACGTCAGTGCTGGGCGGTGGTGGCGCACACTTTTAATCCCTGCACTCAGGAGGCAGAGGCAGGTGGATGTGTGTGAGTTTGTCTACAGAGGGAATTTCAGGACAGCCAGGGCTACACGGAGAAACTGTGTTTTGAAAACAAAACAAAAAATTAAATTGAATTACATTAAATTAAAAAAAAATAACATCAAGATCAAGCACCAAGGGCTTTCTAATCCAGCCCTCCCCATGACTCATTTGGATGTTAGCTTTCTCAACTGCCTCAGTTTCCCTGTCTTTCTTTAACATAGAGCTCGTGGAAGATTAAGTAGATTCATGTGTGTTCTGCTCTCAGCAAAGCTCCGGGCACGTTGGGAAGGTGGATGTGTGACAGGCTTGTCTTCAAATGATGTGACCTGATGAGTAGCCTCTCTATTGAGAGAGGCTTGGACTAGAGAGTCAGCTCCCAGCTGCCATGTTGCACGGTCCCTGGCTTGCCCGCTCAAGCTGAGACCCCTTTCTTCCGTCCACAGCGGATGACGTGTACCTAGACTCAGAGGAGGAGCGAAGGGAATACGTCCTTACCCAGCAGGGCTTCATCTACCAGGGATCCGCCAAGTTCATCAAGAGTGTGCCTTGGAACTTCGGGCAGGTAGGACAGTGCCTGCCCCTCGTGGTGACTGCTGCATCACAAGCAGCCTGTGTTTGGGGAGCCTGAGATTTCAAGACGTGAGTGGGCTGCAGAGTCACCCATTCCATCCTATTAGGAATGCCCAGACGTTAGGGTGCAGGCCCAGAGAGACCTAAGGCCTAGACCAGCACAGGCAGCACCCCCGGGACTAGGGTGGGGCAAGGATCAGGGGAGCCTGTAAAGCAGTGAAGCCGGCTGGGGTTCTCAGAGGAGGGGGCAGAGAAGACCCTCGGAGAAGGCAGATCTGGGTAGGGTTGGAGCGTACCTTCTCAAGGCATTCCCAGGATGTTCTCTGGCTGTCCAGAGAACATCTTCTTGTATCAGCCACTGCTCAGAAACAAACAAGCCTAATACATAAATGGCTGGAATGAAAAACCATCACCAGTGTGAGGCTGTGGCGTCTGGGCTGGGCTGAATGCAGACTGCTGGCTATCGTTCTCTAGTTTCTGGTTCCCAGCCAGGGCCGGTTCTGTAAACCTCAGGTCTCATTTTCTCCATTATCCAGCATCCCAGAAAACCTCTTGACCTTGTAGAAAAAAAAAAAAAAAAAAAAACTTATAAAGCAGAACCATAGCACCCAGTTCCTGGTATGTCGGGGGTCTCCTGGGGTGGAGCCCATCTTGAGCCATCTCCCTGAGCCTTTGGATCAGAGTCTGAGGTTCAGACCCAGAAAGCTCTCCTTGAGGGTAGGGAAGTCCTCCTGTACGCCTCCGGGTCATGCCGACCACAGCTTCCTCATGAGGGATCATAGCAGCATAGGCAGCTGGGCTGTGGGAGTAAGGGAGCCATGTCTCCGTGACGCATAAACCCCACACAAGTCATCCTCTGCTCCCATGGCTTTGCATTCTCTTCTGAGAAACAGGGTCACATCCCTGCCTTGGGACCTCCAAGGTTCTGCTTTGCAAAGACTTAAGGGAGAGGGGGCCATCATGGAGGGCTTTTAGAAGCAGGAAGCATTTGAGCTGGGCTTTGAAAAGCAAGGAAGAGTTTGCCACACAGGAGGCAAGCACCGTGGGATGGACTCAGAGGTGGGCAAGTTTATATCCTGTCTGAGAAGGGTGGGTAAAGGCGCCCTAAGAGGTGAGATGGGGAAAATCCTGCTTGTCAATGTCTCTGAGCACCATTGGGCTGATGGCAATAGAGAGCCACAGCAAGCCCTAGAGGGCTGTGTTGTAGCAGGGAAGGTCATGCTGGGGCAGAGCTTGGTCCAGAACGGTACCACAAGACGAGGAGCAAAGGTAGGAGGGAGAATGCTTGGGTGCCGGATGGGCATGCCCCTCCCCCTCTTCATACCCATGTTTCCCAGATGTCACACTGTTCCCTCCCAGGCCTTCAGCAGCTGGCATCCTGGGGATGTCCGGAACCAGCCAGACTCCCATTCACTAGTGAGATGGAGTGGGGCTCCTGCAGCTGTCGGGGTGTAGGACAGCTTCCTGTTGAGGCTGGCAATCCATGTCCTTGTTCTGTTGTGTGCTTGGACACAGTTTGAAGATGGGATCCTGGACACCTGCTTGATGCTCTTGGATGTGAACCCCAAGTTCCTGAAGGACCGAAGCCGGGACTGCTCACGCCGCAGCAGTCCCATCTATGTGGGCCGGGTGGTGAGCGGCATGGTGAGTGGGGGGTGGCTCTGGCAGGCTACTCCCTTCTGGGATGATGAGGAGGACTTGGGGGCAGGAGAAGGTCTCGGCAAAAGGAGTTTAGAAAGTTTTACACAAACGAGGTTCCCAGTGCAACTCATTGAGCCATTCACCCAGCAAATTGACCAACAGCCACTAATGTCCTGGGCGCGAGGGTAGAGCTGGCTCTAAACCTGGTGCGGTCCCCAGAGCTGACTGGGAGGAAAAGATAGACAGTGAATGCCAACGCCTTGGGGAGAAGCTGGAGCAGAGTGAGCAAGGGGAGTGGGTAGGTTCAGAAGGAGCTGGGTGGGCGTGGCCAGAGCACACACATGGCATCCGACACAGTGCCTTATGGCCTGAGGACCAGAATTTGGTTTCTGTTCTGGAAGCGATGAGCATTTAGAGATAAATGGGGCCGGTATGGGTGTCTGTGAAACTCAAATCACACTGTGCCACTTGGGAGTGACCCTGGATTCACAGGGCAGGTTCAGCCCCGGGAATCGAATTCTTGGCTGCGGCTCTGCTAGGATTCTGTCTCCTGAGCCCTTGGCTGCACCCCCAGTTGTCCCTAACACCCCATCTGCTGCACTGTGGCACATGGCCTCTGCGGCCCTTCATTCTGGGACGGCCTGATATGATGCCTTGCTGTCTGCATGCTCCCCCTGACCCACCCATCATCTTGGCCCTGGCTTTGTTTCCCATGATGCTCTGTTGATTACAGGTCAACTGCAATGATGACCAGGGTGTGCTTCTGGGCCGCTGGGACAACAATTATGGAGATGGTGTCAGTCCCATGGCCTGGATCGGCAGCGTGGACATCCTGAGGCGCTGGAAGGAGCATGGCTGCCAGCAAGTCAAGTACGGGCAGTGCTGGGTGTTCGCGGCCGTGGCCTGCACAGGTGAGCTGCGGCTGGGCAGTCTGCGGCCAGTCCCAGGGAGACCCCATTTCAGTACTGTTTCTGCCGTTAAGACACTGTGGGTTCTGGAGAATGGGGCAACTTGTTAGCCCATTTCCTGCCTTCCTTTTCCCCATGGATCCCATACCTTGGCTCCTTTCTCTAGGACACCTTCTCCCCATGGGACCTCCTGAAGTCTCCTGGAGGGATTCGGTACCCCTGCCTCCCACCTAGGTGCCTTTTGTCTCTGGCTGTGGCTACCTTCCAGGCTGGCATGTAAAGAGACAAGGGGACCTCAGTCAACTCCACGGCTCAGAAACCCAGGGAGCAATGCTTGGCCTATTTCTCATCTGTAGGTGGACTTAGGCCAGAGAATCAAGGTCTCCAAGCCTCAGTTTCCCCATCTGAGAGATAGAGGTGACAGTGATGAACTGATCGCAGGGAGCCCTGGACAATGCCACAGGCCGAGAATGGCTTGGCTGGGATGCCCACACGTCAAGGATTCCAGGGCATCTTGGTGGCTCCCTGCATTTTCTCAGCGCTGCACACTCAGCAGCACCAACCACACTGATATTTGCCTTGGAGAGCATGTGACATGCTGGCTGCCCCATAGTGCCCTCCAGTGTGGCTCCGGGCACTAGGCAGATACATGACACTTCCCCACCCTTGCTTCTCTCTGAATCACCACATCCTAGCGAGCTGCTATTATTAGCTCCTTTTCCTCAATGGGAAATGGAAGAGAGAGGGGAGTGACTTGCTCAAGGTCACACAGCTGGATCAGGGCACAGTCTCGCCCTGAACCAGGTATGCATCGCTCAGGGGGAAGCCCCATGTCCTTAGACTGTGGTGATGACGTCTCTCAGGACACTGTCCCTGGGACAGCAAACAGGCAACACAGTCTCCTGCCTGCGCCCAGAGGCACACTGCGTGTGCAACAAGGCCTAGCCAGGGCTTACACCAGCTTCAGATGAGGCTACAGGAACCAGGCAAGAGGTAGCAGGTCACTGCTGCCCCTCCCCCTCCAAGCACGTCTGTGTCTCCTGGCCAGAAGCCAGGGCCATCTGGGGAAGCTCTTTCCCGGGCCAATGTAGGGCAAAGGCCGAATTCCCCTCCTACTTCAAAGAATCAAAGTCAGTCAAAAGGAAAAGTAAAACCTGAGTCCAGTGGCTGGCGCTCACTGTGGACTCTTCATTCTGATTCCATCTCTTGGACGTTCAATTTCTTTTTCTGAGAATCTATCCCTTCTACAGTAAGGGCTGAGCATGTCTCAGTGCTGTGCCCTGCTTGCTTAGTGGGTCCAAGGCCCTTGCAAAGAAGCAAAGAAACAGAAGAGCTGGTAGAGCACTTGCTTACCTAGAATATACAAGGCCCTGGTTTGAACCCCACCAAAGGTCGCATGCCTGCAATCTCAGAACACAGGAGACGAAGGCAGGGGGATCAAGAACAGAAGTTCAAAGTTCAATGGTTGAAGGTCACCCTCGACCACATAGCTAGGCGAAGCAGGGATACATAAGACCCTGTCTCAAAAGCAAATTAAAGCAGGGGTGGGAGGCACTCATGATTCTTGACCCCTGTCTGTGTTGAGTTTGCTGAGTTGAGCTTAGTCTACACAGAGCACCTAGCACCTTGCTCCGCCCTCTGCTGTTCCTGGGCCTTTCTGACCTCTCACATCCTCTGCCCTTTGCTGCTGGGCCTTGCAGGCTAGAGGAATGCTGGAGTGGAGTGTGGAAAGAGGTGATCAGGGATCAGGGGCCCCAGTGGAGATCTGGTTTTGATGTCCAGTGCTATGGGAGCCACTGAAGGTTTTATTTATATTTTAGAGTGATGAGAGAGGGACGTGGTGGGCACAGGGTGACCAGCCAGGTAGGCACCATTGCCAGGCAAGAGTGGCAGGCACATAACTTCACCATCTGGCCAGTGGGCCCATTGTTCCCTGGGGTGCAGATGGGCCTACAGAGGCCTGAGCTGGGCAGCTTTGTCCTGAGCCTCAGCAACAATGTGGACCCTTCTCCATCCCCCCCCCCCACTGCCCAACCCTCAGTGTTGCGGTGCCTTGGCATCCCTACCAGAGTGGTGACCAACTACTACTCGGCCCACGACCAGAACAGCAACCTGCTCATCGAGTACTTCCGCAATGAGTTCGGGGAGCTGGAGAGCAGCAAGAGCGAGATGATCTGGTGAGAGGCCGTGGGAAGGCTGGGAGGGGGCACCCGTGAAGCTTCCTGGAATAAGCCACGATTGAACTGGGCCTCAGCTGCTGACCAGGAATGGGCAGGGGAACTGGGCTGGAGAAAGCCGGGTGGAGTCAGCTGAGAGGCGGGAAGCCCACCACAGGCAGCCCTGGAAGAGATGGCAGGGGGAACAGGGAGAGGATGGGAGTCTGGAATGTGAGTTGGGATCTGGCTGGCTTCTGGGGCCACGCTCAGCTTCAGAGTGGGAGAGGACTGAGCCAATCATAGACCAGGATGGAGCGGGGAACTAAAGCCAGGGTGTTCCCTGTGGGTGAAGAGGAGGGTCTGGACCAGGCAAGGACTGAGGGCAGGAAAGGAGCTAAAACCAAGGAATTGAGAGGTTAGTCAGTGAGAGTTGGAGGTGCTGAAAGGGCTCAGAGATAGCACAAGGTCAGAGGACAAGAATGAGTCCCCACTAAGGAGGTTGCTACGGAGACAGCTCCAAGGGAGGACAGAGAGGTGGGTCTAGGATTTCCTGGTCTCCTGTAGGCCATGGTGGGTAGCATTTGTGGGAAGTGACAGAAAAACTGTCTGTCTTCCACCTCTGTCCCCAACTAGGAATTTCCACTGCTGGGTGGAGTCCTGGATGACCAGGCCGGACCTACAGCCGGGCTATGAGGGGTGGCAGGCCATTGACCCCACACCACAGGAGAAGAGCGAAGGTGGGCAGGGACATCACGATTCCTGAGGGGGAGGGAGCTGGCATGGAGAAGCTACACCATGGTGGGACTGAGATGCGAGCCAAGGCCAGTAATGAGGTGGCAGCCCCCTATTTGTGTGTTCACAGTGTACTTCTTTAGGTATGGTGCGAACAATTAAGAAAAAGCAACATCTTCACCCTCTCCCAAAATAGGACCGTCATTCACCCACTGTTTCCAGCGATTCCAAATGTGATGTTTGTATGTGTCAGACAGACAGACAGATGGCACCAAGTCAAGGTCTGAGAAAGCACATGGATGTTCTCTCAGAATATTTTTTAAATACACAGAATCCAAGGCACAGGAATACACAGATCATCAAAGTTATAGAAGGCTCTAGGGGAAAAATAATCCTTTATGGCACAGTAACGCTTGTTCCTTGGTGGAGCAAGTTCTACTGCCAGGGCCCGTGTATATGACATGACAGCTCCTGCTGTCTGGGACCACTACAGTGATGAGAAATGTCTCTGGTTCTTGCTGGTGACAGTTGTAAGTGCTCCTGTGCTTTGTCACTTTGTCATCAGAGGACAAGCTGCCAGAGCGCAGTGACTTAAAGATGTCATCTTTATACATCTAAAGCCACTGGACCTTAGGTTCTGTTGGAGGCTGGGCAGGACTGTGGAGTTGGTGATGAGCATCAGTGTTAGGCGGCCTCTTTGGAGCCTTGTCCGTAACCACTGTGACATTTCTGTGACTTCAATTTTCATTTGCTGTGACCGTGTCTCGTGAACATCTACACCCATTGCTGGCCCCCAACACTGTAGGTGTGGACGGTGTCAGGCAGTTTCACCTCCGTAAACCCAGATCGCCCGTTCAGCACTGGCTGAGCCCAAGCTGTGGCAGGCTTTGATTTCCACTCAACATACCCAGCCGTTGGGAGTGGGACCCGGCCTCCCGGTGCTCTTAAGATGCGTTGGGGTACACTTCTGTTTGATTTATCAAAGATGGTGGAGCTTTAGACGGAGACCTTTACCTCTCTGGTTCATGAACCATCATGAACCAGATGCAAATGACCCCAAGTAAAACACAGCTCGGAGAAGTGACTGACTCGGCCAGAGTCACACAGCTAACAGGAGGCTGAGCTCAGACTCGAATGCCAGTATCCTGTTCTCGAGTCTGTGTCTCGAATCCTCATCCCAGGTGCCTTCTGGGAATGGCTTCTGTGGTCAGAGTTGTCTGGTCCCAGGAGCTTCAGCGTGTGGTCCAATCAATCACGGAGGGGTCTGGTGTCACCCTCTGACGGTCCTTCCCTCTAACCCCTAACAGGGACATACTGCTGCGGCCCAGTCTCCGTGCGGGCCATCAAGGAGGGTGACCTGAGCACCAAGTACGACGCTCCCTTCGTGTTTGCCGAGGTCAATGCTGACGTGGTGGATTGGATCCGGCAGGAAGACGGGTCTTTGCACAAGTCCATCAACAGTTCCCTGGTCGTGGGGCAGAAGATCAGCACTAAGAGTGTGGGCCGTGATGACCGGGAAGACATCACCCACACTTACAAGTACCCCGAGGGTAGGTGCCTGCACTCTCCGAGCCTTTAACCTAGCCTTGCAGATAACCACCTGGTTTTACCAGCCTATCAGGCTTGTCTATATGTCAGTGTTACATTTGGCAATCTATGTACATCAGTGGCCCATGGACTACGTTCTAGTTCAAGAAACTCCTCAAGAGGAGGTGCAGACTTTGGGGCGTAGTGGTAAAGAGTGATTTGTTTAGAAAACTCATTCAACAAAAAGATTCTGTCTGAGTGGACACTGGGGTACATGCCTGTAATCCCAACTACTTGAAAAAGATAAGACAAGAGAATCATGAGTTCAAGACTAACACAGTGAGGACCTTTATCTTAAAAAAAAATATATTTTTTTTTTAATCTGGAGAGAGAAAGGGTGAAAGACAGGCTAAGGTGTATGTGTGTGTCTGTGTGGATTATGTGCACAGGAGCCTGCAGCTAGAGAACAGAGGTGACGCCAGTATCTTCCTCCATTGCTCTCCATTCTTAAAAAGACTTATTTTTTTTTTATTCATGTGCATATGCCTGCATGTGTGTGCTCTTGAGTGTGTGTGTGTGTGTGTGTGTGTGTGTGTGTGTGTGTGTGCCCAAGGAGTCCAGGAGGCCCTGGAGCTGGAGTTTGGCTTGACCGATGTGGGCACTGGGAACTGAACTAAGGTCCCTGGAAGAACAGGAAGTTCTCCTAACCCCTGAGCATCTCTCCAACCTTACCTTCTTCTTTGAGTCAGAGTCTCGCACTGAACCCAGCACTCACCAGTCATCTAAACTGGCTGGCTAGTGGACTACGGAGAGCCTCTTATGTGTAGCTCCCAGCTCTGGGGCTACAGACGTGCACTGCCATGCCTGGCTTTTCCATGGGTGCCGGGGATCTCAAGTCCTCACACTTGCACAGTAGGCACTGACTCAGCCATGGCCCCGTCCATCCTTGTCACCCTGGTTTGTCTGACTCTTTGATTCTTAGTAAAACCGGAGAGCATAGCTGCTATATAGAGAGACGTGTACCTCAGGAGGAAAACTGACAGTGACCATGTTGTGTGTTATGATATTAATGAGGAGGGGCAGGGGCAGGGTCTTCAGCTATAATACATCTATGCTAGAAAAGCTTGCAGTCCAGAGAGGCCTCGGAAGAGCATTCCTGGAAACCAGATAATAACAGGATCAGTCCCACCCAGAAGGCAGCATCTTTCTCTTGCCCTTGGCAAATCAGTCAGGGGAAGGCTTTGAGAGACCAACTGGGCGCATCCACCAGCCTACTCGATATGAAGTTCCCCAAGTGACACTGTGTGCCAGCCCTCGTGACACTTACAGAGGCATCCTAGAGACTGACGGCAATCTTTGCCTTGGCCTGGCCCCTGACTCCAAGGCTGCCTGGGAGTTAGCACTGTCCGAACATGCTCTAGCTGGAAATGATAAGACAGGAGAAAACATGCTTTCTCTGGCCGATGATAGAAAAACAGACTGAGGCAGAAGGGAGTACTTGCTGCTCTAACAAGGAACCATGGTTTGGTTCCCAGCACCAGCACCCACATGGTGGCTCACGACCATTGGTAACTCCCAACCTCACAGAATCTGACTCCCTCTTTGGGCCTCCGTGGGCACCAGATGTGCATATACTGAACATGCAGATAAGCACTGGCGCACATAAAATAAATACGTCTTCTAAAAATGAAAAACAGATATGCACCTAATAAAATAAAGGGCACGCCGGAGGTGGATGGCGCACAGAAAGAAATGGTTGTTTCCGCTGGAGGCGTCGGCAGTAGGCTGCCGAGGGAAAGGCAGTCAGCTGGAGTAGACCCCGTACAAACAGATCATTGCGCCCCTGCTTCAGGTGCGCCAGCTGCTGCTGCGGCTCCGAGTGTGGCCCGAGGAGAAATAGAATGTAACCCTGACTCTGGAGCTTCCAGGGTGAGGGGTAAACACATGAACGGAAAACCGAGGAAGGCGTGGTAGGAAAAGCTGTCTCGGGAGAGGGGTCGTTTCAGGCTGGATCCCGAGGGTCTTCAGGGGTTCAGCTGTGGAGAGTAGCGTACGCCTTCCTCCTCCTAGCACAGTGGAGAAGGGGTTCCCTCGGGGCTGCTCCGAGTCAGCAGGACTCTGAAAGCCAGCCTGCCCCGCCCCAACACTTCCCCGTCGACCCTTGTTGCAGGTCCGATCAGGGTTCTCTTCTCTGTTGTCCAGGGTCGCCCGAGGAGAGGGAAGCCTTCACCAGGGCCAACCACCTGAACAAACTGGCGGAGAAGGAGGAGACGGGGGTGGCCATGCGGATCCGCGTCGGGGAGAGCATGAGCATGGGCAATGACTTTGACGTGTTTGCCCACATCGGGAATGACACCTCCGAGAGCCGCGAGTGCCGCCTCCTGCTGTGCGCCCGGACTGTCAGCTATAACGGGGTGATGGGGCCCGAGTGCGGCACGGAGGACCTCAATCTGACCCTGGACCCCTTCTCTGGTAAGGCTCTGCCTGCCCGGGGCATCCAGTGCTTCACATGTGCACCTCACCTCCCAAACCCTCCCCTGGCATCGCCAGGGCCAAGCCCTGTTCTAAGCACTTTCTTAGTATCATAAAGTGTGTATGTACGTGTGTGTGTGTGTGTGTGTGCGCGTGTACGCACGCACGCATCTGTCTCCACCTCCTAGCACTGCCACTACAAGCCTGTTTTTTTTTGTTGTTGTTGTTGTTGTATTTTTTTTTTCACTCCTGTTCCAGGGATGGAACTTGGGTTCTTAGGCTTGTAAGGCAAGCCCTTTATTGACTGAGGGGGCCTCCCCCAGCCTCCCAGCAGGCTTAGTTCTTGTAGCTAAAAGATAAGTGGGAGCCGGTATAATGGAGCACACCTGTGAGCCCAGTTCTCTAGGTGTTGAGAGTTTGAAGCCAGCCTAGGCTACACAGTGATACCCTGTCTCAAAAAGAAAAAAGGTGTGTTTGTTGCGGGGGAGGGTGTAGCTTCCATCACTGCACCCATTTTCTCGATGAGGAGACAGAGGCCAGAGTAGTCAAGTCCCTCCCCCAGAGTTGTGTCGTTGTGTAAGAGGACTGGGCTTTGAGCCCGTCCTGTTTCATGGCATCTTCCCATGACCCCTGCTGGCTTACCCAGCCCCTGTACTCTTCTGTCACAGCTAATCCCCTTCCTCCGTGTTCTCCTAAAATTGTTCTGGCCCCAGAGGTCACACACTGAGCTAGCACAGTGCCAGGACACAGTCCAGCTCCTTAACCCTTCCCTGCCATGCCCTTTGGGGAAGACAAAGGGACTGGGACCCGGTGCTAGTACTACTCCTCCCTGCCACTGGGTGAAGAATCGCCTTGCCACCTCTGAGTTCCTCTCCACTGGGCTCGTGGGGGTCAGCACTGAGAGCCTACGTGACCTGCCTAGAGAGGGGGAAGGCCCAAGCTGTTCCCCTGCCCTCCTCCTGCCTGCTCAGAGTTTCTCCTCTCCCCCAGGCCATCCATCCAGCTCTGGCCCAGCCCAGCTTTCCTAGGCAGACAAGCTGTGTTCAGGCCGGCTCTTGACTCTTCTCTCCTGAGCCTGGCAAATCCCCTTAGCCCCGGGTCTCCGCACTAACGCCACTCATAATGCAAGATGTATTATGAAGCAAGTGGGACCCACATGGCTTTTGCCTCTGCCACCTGCACAGTGCACAGACTGGCAAGGCGGCCATGCCCAGCACATGAAGCAGCAGCACCATGTCCCCTGGTGGACAGCCTCGGGGCCTCAGAGCAGATGTGGAGTCACTGTGGTCGGGGCCCAGTGCCATGCTTCTGTTTCAGTGTGAGATCCGGGGAGACCGAGAGGCCGGTCTTTCCTTACCATCGTGGTGTCAACTCAGGGCATCTCCACCACCTTGATGGACGGCATGGGAAGGATCCAAATGACACCTCCATGTCTAAATCCCAAGAGTAAGAGGCAGGGGCTTGTCACCATGGGTACATGGGGCAGCCTGGGTAACCATATTCTAATTGCCACCGCCTGCTGCTGTTGCCCTGGACAACACAGTTGTAGTTCCCCAAACAGGCCACAGACGCCCCATTTGTACAAAGGCCAGGCCCTCTTTTAAGGCCCTCCAGCTGATACTACTCACTTGAGCCTTTCATGAGCTACCCGGAGGGAGGCAGAGCGGCATGAGATGAACCTAAATGCCAGGTGCCTTACTCCCAGCCATGGAGTCATCTCTTCCTCAAAGCACCTGCAGTGTGATTCAGGAGCTCCAGCCAGTTCCACAGTTCACCTGAGGATGCCCTGCCTGCCAGGAACCCATGAGGGACAGCACAGAGATCAGGGAAGACAGGGCAGGAGCCCTGTGTGCTGGGCTCTGGCTAGAAGGCACAGCTAGACCAACATGGCCTACTGGGGCTTCCAAAGCCAAGGTCAGCTTGAGACTGACTCTTTTCCTCCTTGGCAGCATTGCTGCTGCTTACTGCTCTTTGATGATACGATCTGGGGACTTCCATGTGCTAATGGACAGGAAGCCAGGCCCAGGACAGCTGAATGGAGTCAGATGCTCCCCCTTCCTCCATCCTGCTCTCCTCCCTCAGCACCAGTAGGTCAGGAAAGCAGTCAGTGTGGTTCAGTGACCATCCCCAGGGAATCTTCTAGAACAGGGCATAATGTCCAAGGGAGGACCAAAGCTGACTACATTCAGTTTCTCCTCCCAGCCAGCACATGGCCCAAGGCCAAGGCCTGGTTACTGATCTGTGAACAGCGGCTCTCCAGGACCTGGCCTTCTGGCAAAGCCATGTCTTCTTAGTGTCCAGTGTTTCCTCTTTCTGTTTTGCCCTCAGGGTGGGGCCGGTCATTCCAGCCTTTAGTCCTTGTGGGCACAGGACTTCGCTCCTCGGTCACGTCAGCAGGCTGGAGCAGGCCCCTCTTCGGAAGGCCACCCATGGTCTATCTTTTCTAAACCCTGTGCCACACGCTGCTTGAGCCAACAATGGGCAGGCCACTGCTCCCTCAGCTTTGTCAGTCCTCCTGCGGACCTGAGCAGCAGTGACGGGGCGGAGCAGTGCTGATTTGCCTTAGGCTCCGCAGACCTTTCCAGTCTGCTCATTATCAATTAGCTCTGGCCACTGTGTCATGAACGATCTACCAGGGTGGAGCAAGCAGGACTTCGTTGGTTTGGATTTCTATTTATGGTGGTGTTAGTTTACTACAAATAATGATGAACATCTTCCCTTAGCAAAAGATGGTGGTGATGATGGTGGTGATGGTGATGGTGGTGGTGGTGATGATGGTAGTGGTGAAGACAATGATAAGGTTAAAAATATAAAGTGAGTGATAGAAAAATAGCATGTAAAATATAAGGGTCATACTGGTATGTGACAGTCATTCCAGTAGGGATATGTAAATGCCGGCCTAAAAGGGGAGGGGACAGCCCTGCTGTCAGAGTGCTAGCTGCTCCCTAGACCTCGATGATGCAAGAAGGTTGGCTGGATGCCAGGGAGTTCAGGGAAAATCCCTGCAGAACTTTGTTTCCCAGGGAACCCAGGAGGAAAAGGGTCTTGCCCAGGGTCTCAGTGACTGAGGAGACAGGACGGGTTGTGCAAGCCAGTAGACCCCAGCTCCTGGCTCCTTTCTCCAAACCCTCCTGCTTCCCACAGACTCCTGCTGCCCTCTGGCCTCCATTTTCTTGCCAAAAAAAAAAAAAAAGAGAGAGAGAGAGATTAAGCCCACCCTCAGCCCTTCAGTGGTGTGCTATTGCTCTGGTCAGAGCTCTGCCCTGCATATGCTGCGTGACCCCAGGAAGAGAGGGAACAGAGAGGGTAGTCATGCTGCTAGGCTCACACAGCCGGTTGGTGAGCAATTCCTGGCAGAGGCATGTCTTCATCTGTAAAAATAGGTCAAGGCTGTGGGCCCAGTGGGGAGTGAGTTCTCCCTCAGAGGGAAGGTGGTGCTGGCAATATGATTCAGGCGCCTGGGTGGCATGTTCAGCTGTGTGATGATACATGGCAATACTATTTTGCTTGCCCAGGCCCCGGCTTCCTTGCCTGTAAGCTGGGTGGTGATCAAAGCACAGCCATGCATGGGTTGTCAAGAAGGCAAAATGGGAGGCATTGGGAGAGGCATGGTGTCCAGCAGTCAGCTGCCATCTTCCTCCTGCATCACCTGGTACCTCCCTGCCCCATTCAGGAAACCCTCCCCAGTCTCCTAACTGCCCAGACTACCCAGGCACTAGTAGTAAGTCTTAGAAGAAACAGAGGCATACAGCTGGGAATACATCCCAGGGAGGGTGCTTGCTTGGTGCACATGAGGCTCTGGGGTCTGTCCAGGGATGGTGGTGCATGTCTGTCACCCCAGCAGTTGGTTGGATCCAGCCTTCCCAACTCACACACCACACGTCACGCTGCCCTCCCTCTCCCTCATCACAGAGAACAGCATCCCTCTTCGCATCCTCTACGAGAAGTACAGTGAGAGCCTGACGGAGTCAAACCTCATCAAGGTGCGGGGTCTCCTCATTGAGCCAGCTGCCAACAGCTACGTGTTGGCCGAGAGAGACCTCTACCTGGAGAACCCTGAAATCAAAATCCGGGTAAGGAGCAGATGGGGCCCCAGGACAGCCCTCTCATGCATGCACCTGCTTTCCTGCAGCCTGGAACCTTTCTGGGTCCTCGTGGAAGGAGGGTACCACAAAGCTAAGAGAATGAAGGCCTTGAAGCCTCCAGGAAGGGCACCTAGAGCCTGGGGTGGGAGGCGTGGTGGTTGGGATCTGGAACCCAGGTATCCTTAAAAGGCCAGTGTGCCCTCCTTGGTAGTACTGCTTGGAGCCAAAGAAGGGTGACAAGCATGGTAGCCCAGGCTTGTGCCTGGGAGGCTCTGAAGATGCTCATTCACCCTTCTGACCCCCAGTTCATTCCTCTGTGGGACAGGCTCAGTGCTGGGACCCAGGGATGCTGTGAGAATCTAAGGTTGTCCATAGGAAGCAGCTAGGACCATGCCCTGCACAGTTGGAGGCTTGGTAAAAGCCTACTGTGCCTTCGTCACCATCCTCCTCCCAACCCTCTCCTGAAGTGCCCCTGAGCTCCAGACACAGTCGCTCTAGAGTACCTCATTGTCATGGGCCAGAGTCTGCCAAATGCTTGCACACCTTAGCTTATCCATCCTGAAGAACCAGCAGCATTCTCTTATCAGCAAACCAGGGCTCAGAGAGGGTTTGCTCTCCCCAGTCACACAGTAGAGGAGGGCAAAGTCAGCTTAGCTCCAGTCCTGTCCGCCAGCTTTGGACCCCTGGACACAGGAGGCCTTTCATGTCAGCTAGAGCCTCAGTGAAGCTTTATGAAAGAGATGTGGGAACACCCATCATCTGCATTTTGCAGATAGGAAACCCAGTCACCAAGATGTGTCCTAGCGGCTGGCAGAGCTGGGAGCGACTTCTTTTAGCAAACACTGGGAGAGGTTCCGTGGGCATCCAGCCTGGCTCCCTCACCCTAACCTTCATCTGCACCCCTTCCAGGTCCTGGGGGAGCCCAAGCAGAACCGCAAACTGGTGGCTGAGGTGTCCCTGAGGAACCCACTCTCTGAGCCCCTGTTCGACTGCGTCTTCACCGTGGAGGGGGCTGGCCTGACCAAGGAGCAGAAGTCTGTGGAGATGTAAGTGCTGGGCACGCAGGTCTCGGGGAGGAGGAAGTTGGAGCCAGGAGTCAAGGCCCTTGAACCCAGCCCACCCTGTAGTCCACTCCACTCCTCCTGTGCTTATCGGCATCCCACCCACCGTGAACCCTCCAAGCCAGGGTGCCTTCAGGTGCTTTTTCAACTCACAGGATGCTAACTGCAGGTCATTCCCACACCAGCACACACCCGACCGGGGACACATCAGTCATTCCGTGCTGCCTCCACACAGCCCTCACAGAACTCGGATGTCCACACACGTGTCCGCGTGAACATGCACACACAGGCATGGGCGTGTCCTCGTCCATTCACATCTACACAGGCCCATAGAACGACACATGCTGGTTTTTCTTTCCACTGCCGTGCAATTCACACGATCAGAACAGATCAAGTGCATGCATGCTCCCATGTGATGTGTTGTCTCTTTCCTGAGCTGAGCGTGTCCATGTTACTCCCAGCCTACTGCCAGCGCACATGGGCACATCTGCTCACCGCATATGCTCACACCTATACATACTTGTACACACGAGAACATGTTATGCATACTGTCTCACATACATCCAAACTTGTGTACATGTTCAAATGCACCCACATGTACACACACACACACACACACACACACACACACACACACACACATACACGCACACACACTACTTTCGGAGGCCCAGTCCTGCAGAGGCCATGAGCTGGGCCCATTATTAACACCGGCCTTAGCTTCCATCACCGAGGCCCTGGCCTAAGTCCTAGTGTGTCTTCATGGCTGCCATGTTCCCATGGCAGCCAGGCCTGTTTCCTCACCCTCTTTCTTTCTGCAGCTCAGACCCTGTGCCAGCAGGAGATCTGGCCAAGGTGCGGGTCGACCTGTTCCCGACTGACTTCGGCCTCCACAAGCTGGTGGTGAACTTCCAGTGTGACAAGCTGAAGTCCGTGAAGGGTTACCGGAACGTCATCATCGGGCCTGCCTAAGGGACCCCTTCGCCCAGCCCCACCTCACCTGCTGCCAACCCTCAACTCAACCTGGTCTTTATCCTGAGATAATGAGCAACTTCACCCCTCTGGGCTGACATGGCTGCCTGGAGGCTCTTTGGAAGGAATGTACTTCTGGCCCATCGTGTTCCTCTGGATCTACTTCCCCGTCTGTCCCCTTAGCTGTGAGGAATGTTCTGTGCCAACACAGTGGGAACCCTGGCCTTGGAAGACCAGAGCTAGGGGAAGAGGAGAGCCATTGCCAGCATTGTTTGAACAGTCCCTAGAGCTTTGGAAAAAGCACAAGGGATGGCGAGCCCACTGGCTCAATGAAGGAACCAGCTGCCCCGGCCATCCGTCTCCCAGCCACCTCCTCCCTGAAAGGGAGCTACTGTGTCATAAGCACCTTAAGTCCTTGCAGGGCTGTCAGCCTGTTCGGTGTCCAAGAGAAGCTTCAGGGTGGAAACTGAGGCTTCCCATGCTGTGCGGTGCCAGTGGGCAGGCCATCACTCGCAGGGCCTGTGGGTGAGCCCAGAAACAGGGCTTGTGCCATCTGGCTTGGAATCTAGCAATCCATCTGAGACAGCAGCCCTGACCGGAGAGTGTCAGAGAGGCCACGTGGGGGCCAGTCCGGAAGGACACAGTTTGGGTGAGGAGGTGAAGAAAGGGCAGGGAGGCTGGGGAGCTGGGGGCCTAGGTTTAAGCTCCAAAGGGGGCCACACTCTGTTCTCCTCTTCTGAGCTTGATCCTCCTTTACCTGAGCAGTGATTTGCAAGCCCACCTCCAGGGTCTCTTGATCCTGTGCTTCAAAAGCCTACCACCCAGGCCCAGGGTACCTCTGGGGAGGAGACAGCAGCACTAGGCCTGTGCCCAGGCTGTCCTGCATCTCACCTATGCCCAGGTTCCTCAGATGCAGTTCCAGCACTGCCCACAAGCTGCCTGCACAGCGCCTAGACTTGATTTCACAGAAGGAGCCTTAACTGTCCATGCTGGTCACTACCCACCAGGGCCACGCCTCCACAGGCCCTTCTTCCCCAGCCTGCATCCCCAGGCACAACACTTGTCTCCAGAAAAGCGTGGGGGACTAGGGTCATCATCCTGAGTTGGCCAACTACTACCTCTCCGTGGCTGGGCCTGCAAGCTGGAAGACTGCGGCGGTGGAAGGGGGAGGAGTGTCTCCGGGTGATGAGGTCAGAGGCTCTGGGATCCCCTAAAATCCCAGAGGAGAGCCTGGGGAGAATCACGCCGATGCCTTTAACACGTCCCGCTTGACACAGAGGATTTCGCCACGAGCCGTGTACCTGCCCCGTTCCTGCACAGCTTCTGCTGGTTTGTCCGAGCTTCAGGTTCCCAGCAGGCAGTAGGCATGCTTTCGAAGCCTATGTGAGCACTAAAATAAAGGTCTATTTTTCACATTCAAACATGGTCTGCCCTGTCCTTTGGGAGCTGCTGAGGGTGGTGGGTGGCACTCACAACTGTGCCCTCTCCCGGCTTCCTCACCCAAGCCTTAACCCGGCCCCACACTTTCCTGGCTCTCCAGGCTCCACACACAAACCCCTGTCCTTAGCAGAGCCAGGAACTTCCTGGGTCCCCCAGTGTCCTTACCTCTCACGTACCTCTTAGTCTCTGCCGTTCCCTGTGCCTAAAATACCCTTCCTTGTCTTTCCTTGTCTACTTGGCTTAACACCAAAGTCTTACCTTTGGTAGTGTTTTAGGATAACAAGCCACAATGTGGTGGTGTGTAACTATAATCCTAGCTCCAGGATATAATTCCAGTTCACTGGCCAAACAGCTCAGCCTGCTTGGTGAGCTAGCTCCAGGCCAATTAGAGACCCTGTCTCAAAAAGCGAGATGGACAATGCCTGAGAAATGACACCTGAGGGTTGGCATTTGGTATACACACACACACACTAAACACAATATACACAGGAGTATTATTATTTTATTATTAATTTTTATTATTAAAATACCTCTTTTATTATTACTTTTAGTGACTTATTACTATTCCTATTAGTTGCTGCAAGAAACTGCAGAGGCAGGCTGATCTGGCTAATCCTCCTTCACGTTGCCTGCTGGCGGATCCTTACCAGGGACCAGCTGGCAAAGGACTCTGGGAAACTCCCCCGGAAAACAGGTGGTTAGGCAAGGGAGAGGATGGCCTGGGTGGGAACTCCTGTCATTGAGTCTTCCCATCAGCCCCACCTGGAGAACTCTTACTTGGTTTCCAAAATCTGGCTCCATGGAGGTCCCCTCCCTGAGGCTTCCTTGGCTGTTGCCAGATGCTTCGGCCTCTGCGTGTCTTAGGTAGATGTTTATGCAGGTGGTAGCTAGGGCTGTGAACAGCCATTACTGTACCTGCCTGTGTTCTGGGGGCTCAGGGCTGGGGCAGACTCACAGCAAGAGGCTTCTGGGGAGACTCTGCCAGCTCTGGCTCGCTGCCTGGCTGCTCACTCCCAGTGTGGAGGGACCAAGCTGCCCCAGCCAGCTCCGTTGTTCATAGCTCAACTCACTCGCACCTTTCCCTTGCTTACTCCCCACCCCCAAATAAATAATTCTACTCAGTGTTTGTTCCATGAGACCAAAAAGTACAACCACAGTGCCCGGGGCAATGGCTCAGATGGAAGAGCATCTGCCACACAAGTGTGAGGACCTGAGTTTGAATCCTCACACATACATAGAAGCTGAGCACACAGCACCCAAGTTCACAGACCCAGCACTGGAAGACGAAGCTGAGCAGGTTAAGACAAGTAGATCTCGGGGCCAGCCAGTCTGGCTAAATCAGTGATTTCTGGGTTCAATGAGAGACCCTGTCTCAAAAAATAAGCTGGAGAGGCATTGAGGAAGACACCTGATGTTGACCTCTGACCTCTATGTGCATATTCACATACATGTGTGCCATATGCACATGTGAGCACACACACACACACACACACACACACACACACACAGAGTGGTCCATTGCCTATTTAGAATACAAAAGTTTAGGTAAAAGCCTAGAGAAATAGAGCTGTTTGCACAAGACAGACACATGTTGGTTCCTCTTGTGGGTCTTCAATGGCAAGGCAGAATGTCTCAAACATGTTTATGTGGCATGTTCCCATACCTTCCTCTGGGATTTTATAAGCCCTGGAGGCTGTGCCATTTCACCTATTTGTAAAAGAAACACAGGGTCAGAGAGGTTAAGCAATTTGCCCCAAGTCACACAGCTGGCAGGTTGCAAAACTGAGCCTTGGTTTGTATAGGCAGCTATGCCCAGCACAGAGCATGGTGTGGAGAAAGCCCTGTTCCTCCCAGCATTCTCCCTGCTTACCAGGAGCTGGGATTTCTGGGATGGAGGCCTTCATACATGCCTGGCAGCCCTTATGGAATAGGGGGTCGGGTTCATCTTCCCACTCTGCAGGCCTCTTTCCTTTCCAGCTGCTCTTGTTTGCCTAGGATGTCTGCCAGCTCACCCCTCAGCCTCCAGCCAAGCCTCGAATGACAGAACACTGATGGAGTCCAAGAGGGAGGTCGGGGGTGGGGCCAGGCCAGTGCCTCCTCCAGCAAGGTTACCTCGGTTCCCTGGGGGCTGGTGCAACCGGGAACCCAATCAAAAAAGCCAGCAGCTAGAAGACACATGGCTGGGACAGAGAAAACATTTGTTCAGAAAGCCAGCAAACCAAAGAAGATGGAGGTGTCCCCACAGAAGGCCACTGTGCCTGGACTGCAGGCCTGAACAGACAGAGGGGGGATCGGCCAGGGGGTGGGGGGTGGGAGGTGGGGCCAGCGTTTCTGCCCTTATCTTCAGGCCACTCTGGGTTCATCAGGTCTAAAGAAAAGTTACTGATTAGAGAAATATGTGGCTTGCGTCTTTGTGGTTCCTTTCCTGGCAAAAGTTTATTCTACAGTTAATTATTAGGCTCCAAAAGGTATGTTTTCTCTGGGGAACAAAGAAAGGAAAAAGCCTCTTTAGAAGGGAAGAAAAGACAAGCTGTGCAAGCCACTGTTGTGAACAGCCAAGCCAGGGTGTTCTTTAGCACCTCTCTGCTTCCTCCTGAGCACAGGCCTGAGCAGGTTCACAGGGACCAGGAGCCCCATGCAGCCTGCGGGCTCTGTATCAAGAAGGAAAAGGCACAGCCCATTGAGATGAGAAGCTGTGCCCACAGGACGGCAGGTCTAGCCTCGACAAGCAGGGCCAGAGTCTCAGTGAGTGTTGAGAATAGTTGCAGACACAGAATACTGCTCTGCTGGGTAAGCAGTCTTATGAGTCTGCAGCCAACAGCGAGAACCACAGGTCAGACTCACCCAAGCCGCCGAAAGCAGAGAGGAGCTGGGATCTGGCTGTCCCACCGCTCTCGGAAAAATGGCCTAAAGAGAGGAGGGCAGAGGATATGGGGAGAGCAGGGAAGGCGCAGGCTTCTTTCCGGGACCCTGGCGATGGGAAGCCCTGAGCTTCCCACACATTGTTTCCCCATCAGCCTCAGGGGCTGAGAAAGTCAGGCTCGGGAGAGCAGACTGATAAGTATGGGCGCTGCTCTATGACCCAGAAATCCCACTGAAGGTATTTAGCCAAGAGAAATGAGAGCGTGGGTGAACACAGAAAGTAGTTCAAGGCCATCCACAGGGCCGTTGTTCATAGTAGAGACAGAGTGGAAGCAACTGTCCACTAACTGAACAGACAAATTATATATATATATATATATATATATATATATATACATAGTGGAATATTAGTTGGCAACGAAAAGGAACGAGGTAAGGGTGAAAATATGCCAAGTGAAGGAAAACAGAATCAAAAGCTATCAGAAAGTAGGATACCACTTCTAGAGAGGACAAAGATAGGTGGCTGCCTGGGCCTTAAGCGATGGAGGGATGAGGACTTGGAACTAAAGGGGGTAATAGAAATGCTGCAAAGGGCAGTGATGGACGCAGCTGTCTGGACTGGAGGCCGCTGAGCTGCGTACTTTAAATGGGTAACTTGTTCGGCTTGTGAATTCTATCTCAAAAAAAGCCATCTAAATAATTAATATGAGCACGGGGAGGGAGGAGGCTGAGCTCAGAGCTGTTCTGCCCGGGCATTCCCAGAGAGGAGGCAGTGCCATTAGCTTGGTAGCGTGTTACATTTTTTATGACAGTTGTCCATGATTGCATGGACTCCTGCTTGCTGGGTAAAGTCAGGGGGCTCCTGGGGCCTGGGCAAACCCCTAATCATTCCCCCCACCTCCACTCTGGCCATCTGCAGGCCACGCTTAATCTACACGCTTCAAAAATGGCCAAAGAGCTGTCTCTAGACACTGTCCTCAGCCGATGCCCTAGGAAAAGAAGTATTGAGCATCATAATACATGTCTGAAATCCCAGCACTGAGGCTATGGCAGGAGGAGTGAGTTGGAGGCCAGCCTGTGCTGCATGGTAAGGCCTTTGTCTCTGAAAAAGAAAGTGAAGACAACCAGCATTGTCTTCACAGTGAAGAGGGTCCAGCATTGTCAGTTCTACATCAACTTCTCTAGAGTGGTTCAGAAGCAGACAGACAGGCAGACAGGGAGGCAGGCAGACAGGGAGACAGACCAAGAGAAAATGCCACTTAGGTCAGCCAAGCAGTGAATTGCCTTCATTTGCTAAGACTACTCTTCTTATGGAAGGGAACCTGAGGCATGGGTGGGAGCAGGGTTTGCTCACAGCAAAGAATAAGGACAAAAGCGGAGCCCACCCTGTTTCCACTCTTCTTGGAAGAGCTGAGCGGCCCCCCATGGCTGGCTGGCAGAGTTCTCCAGGCGAGATGCCAGTGGCCTTGGGACCTCGAGTGAGGCGGCTCCACCAAGGAATTCCAGCTGCCTGATGTCCGGTCTCTCGGCACTCTCTTGCTGTGTGACTGTGAGGAGGTGACTTGCCCTCTTTGGGCCTCTGTTATAATGGAGCACCTGGACACTGCCTGTTACCCAACGTTGGGCTGAGATTACAGAGGGGAAGGACCCTACAAACCACAGAGGGCCAAGGACTCTGAGGCCGGCAGGAACTCTGGCTGCAAGAACGGCAGAGGTGGGAGCAGAGTAGGTGGCAGGAGGAGGGTTCATTTATTTAATCAGCTCCCACAGTGGGGATTATAGAAGTGGCTTCTGAGCCCACCCAAGAAGGGGCAGCGGCTTAGAACAGCTTGGGAGCTATAGCTCGAAGGCATCCGGATGAATCAAAATCAACATGGACCAGGCGCTATACGAGGCTTTAGGGACACAAGGTCACCATGGCAAGACCGTTCTGTAGATTGTGTGAGCAAACTCCAGGGAGAAACCAGATGAGCCAAGAAACAGGCTGAGAAAAAACAGGGATGTAGTATCAACTCTAAGATCCAAGTTGAGGCTGGGAAAATGGCTAGGTGGGTAAGCACTTCACTCTGCAGGCATGAAGACCTGAGTTTGAATCTCCAGCACCTGTGTAACCCCAACA